TGAGTGAGTGAGTGTGTGAGTGAGTTGTTGGGTGAATATGTGTGTGTGTGTGAGTGAGTGAGTTGTATCTTGAGTATGTGAGTGAGTGAGTATGTGAGTGAGTATGTGAGTGAGTATGTGAGTTGGTGAGTGAATGAGTGAGTGAGTATGTGAGTGACTGTGTGAGTGAGTATGTGAGTGAGTGAGTATGTTAGTGAGTGAGCATGTGAGTGAGTGAGTGAGTGAGTATGTGAGTGAGTGAGTGAATGAGTGAGTTGTTGGGTGAATATGTGAGTGTGTGAGTGAGTGAGTGTGTGAGCGTGTGAGTTGGTGAGTATGTGAGTGAGTGAGTGAGTATGTGAGTGAGTGAGTGAGTGAGTATGTGAGTGACTGTGTAAGTGAGTGTGTGAGTGCGTGAGTATGTTAGTGAGTGAGTATGTGAGTGAGTGAGTGAGTGTGTGAGTGAGTGAGTGCGTTGGTGAGTAAATGAGTGTGTGAGTGAGTATGTTTAGTGAGTGAGTATGTGAGTTAGTGAGTGAGTGAGTGAGTATGTGAGTGAGTGAGTGAGTATGTGAGTGAGTGAGTGAGTATGTGAGTGAGTGAGTATGTGAGTGAGTGAGTATGTGAGTGAGTGAGTATGTGAGTAAGTGAGCGAACGTAAACGTAAAAGTATAAGATTGATTATAGAATAACAAAGCAAAAACTATGATATTCACATTTTCATTGCCTCATAAACTCTAAAATTGCGCTCAGTGTTGTTATATTTTTTTTAGTCCTTCGGGATAATTAATTTCATTTCATGAAGTGTTCAAGATTGACTATCGCTTAAGCTGGTGGAAGTGGGGAGTTGCATTTTTCCCTTATCAACATACCCCATCAAACCCAGTCTGCAATTGTCATGAAATTTTGTTGTCTTCATTGCTACGGAGAGATCAACCTTTTCTCAGACATTTGAGCCACGTCATGACAAAACCAACATAATGGGTTTGCGACCAGCATGGATCCAGACCAGCCTGCGCATCCGCGCAGTCTGATCAGGATCCATGCTGTTCGCTATCAGACTCTCTACTTGTAATAGAGTTTGTAAGCGAACAGCATGGACCCTGATCAGACTGCGCGGATGCGCAGGCTGGTCTGGATCCATGCTGGTCGCAAACCCATTATGTTGGTTTTGTCGTGACGTGGCTCATTTATCTGTAGTTTAGTTATAGTTACATCTGCATAACCTTAGCATTCCTCTTGATTTAATTCAAATTATACAGAATAAGGTCCCCTTTGTATCTTATATCCCTACTTTATTTTGCAAAGGTAATGCATTCATTATACCATTTTTTGTTCCTACAATGCTACTAGTCACTCGTATATTTTCACACAATTACATTTAAACAATTAGGTAAGTAACTTCCTCCCTTGTGAAATTTAAATTGTAAAGGAACACTGATTGGACGAGATTTAATCTAGATTAATGCTTGTTCAGTAGCAAAGTAGTGTGGAGTAATGATGCATGTATATAGAAAAACTTTATCGTTTTCAAAGCAATTTAAGGACTTTAAGTACATTATTTTAAATGCCAAACAAGAAATGGAAACCAAAAATGCATATACAAAAAAATAAATGACTTTTCCCTGGAAAACAATTCAATGGTTTAATATTTGCAACATTTTCAATTTTGTCGTTGTGGACGTCTTTAGGCATAGGTCCTAGTGTATGAATGCATTGTTTAATAACCCTGGATGAATATTCAACTACATATAAATTTGAGAAAAAAACAACTGCCATTTGCGCTACTTTTCTGAAGTTTTCAAATGTCTTTAATTTTATTTCAGAAGATAACAGAACATAACGTTATATAATGCGGCAGTAAGAGAATTGCAAACAAAAAAACAACAGTTAATCATTTGTTTTGTTCACTTGATAATATCTTACTTTTAATGCATTTGTAAAAAAAATCATAAAAATTAGCATAAATTTTGAGGTATGCTGCTTTAATTGTTAAAAAATCTGGAAAAGGAATCCAGTGATTCCTTGGAAGCAATGAAAACATTAAAAACTACATGAAAATTGCAAAAGCGGTTGGAAAGAGTTGGTTCACGAGAGATAATATAAAAGTGAAGTTTCCCTCAATCCCCCCACTACCCCCAGGAATAAAATTTCAACACTAATTGTGCTAGAATCTGTGATCAGTGATCCCGAAGGTCTAGAAAAATGTAACTGCACTGAAGTGAACTATGGGGATTTTTTTGAATGTAAAACTAGTCTGATCATTTCTCTGTAAAGTATACTATGACAAAATATTACATATATAGGTCTTGTAAAAGCCAATAATTGTCTACATATTTTCATATTGTTATAAAAAATTATGTTACATAAAATGCATACAAATGAAATAAAAACTGACCCAAGGCTTTGTGTTCCTTTAAATGACTTATCGTTGCATGCAACCTCTATGCCAATTATAAATTATGCCACCTTACTATAATCACATGAGAAGCGTGTTTAACTTTTATTTTTCTAAAAAGAAAAAAAATATCAGTTCTTTTTTTAAAATGTCAATATTTGATATCATTTAAACAGACATTGCAAAATTGGCAGTATGTACTTTAACATGCAATGTTGCAACTAGGACATTATAGATGGTTACGGATTTGTAATATTTATTTGCTTTTTATTATTATGATCGTGCATGGAATGTGCTAAACTCTATGCATATGTGTATGTATATGTATGATTAACCAGTACAAAAGTGTTGCAAAAGGTCTTGTTGTTTTTGTAACAGATTGAGTGAGTGTCCGTTATGTTGTTTACGTGTCTTGTGTGGTTTTACGGAAAAGTAAGCGTTAAAAGTTAAATCCAAACTAAATCAAACAGAAGTGTACATGTGCAATATATATGTGTCTCATATATATTTGTATACTGCATATTACTATATAAATATACTGTGGGAGATGCATAAGCGCCAGCGCGACCTAGATAAGCCTGGTGTACTTCCGCCGCGTGGTAGCTTTAAGCTTTATGCAAATGTAACAGTGTAACTTATTTAAGCCACTTTTACCTGAGCAGTGGAACTATCATAAGTCTGATACACCTAATTTGTGTAAATAAGATTTGCCTGTACATAATACGACCACGTGACTATAATTAGCGTGATACAAAATACGACCACGTGACTATAATAAGTCTGATACACATACGACAATGATATTGTTATAAGTCTGATACACAATACGACAATGAGATTGTTATAAGTCTGATACACTAATACGACAATGTGACTATTATAATCTTGATAGACAATACGACAATGTGACTATTATAATCTTGATAGACAATACGACAATGTGACTATAAGCCTGATACACATACGACAATGTGACTTATAAGCCTGATACACAATACGACAATGTGACTATTATAAACCTGACTCACTTACGACAATGCGACTATTATAAGCCTGATACACAATACGACAATGTGACTATTATAAGCTTGGTTCACAATATGACAATGTGACTTATAAGCCTGATACACAATACGACAATGTGACTAATATAAGCCTGATACACAATACGACAATGTGACTATAATAAGCCTGATACACAATACGACAATGTGACTATAATAAGCCTGATACACAATACGACGACAATGTGACTATTATAAGCATGATACACATACGACAATGTGACTTATAAGCCTGATACACAATACGACAATGTGACTATTATAAGCCTGATACACAATACGACAATGTGACTTATAAGCCTGATACACAATACGACAATGTGACTATTATAAACCTGACACACTTACGACAATGCGACTATTATAAGCCTGATACACAATACGACAATGTGACTATTATAAGCTTGATACACAATACGACAATGTGACATATAAGCCTGATACACAATACGACAATGTGACTTATATAAGCCTGATACACAATAAATCAATGTGACTCTTATAAGCATGATACACACGCGACAATGTGACTACAATAAGCCTGATACACAATACGACAATGTGACTATTATTAACCTGACACACTTACGACAATGCGACTATTATAAGCCTGATACACAATACGACAATGTGACTTATAAGCCTGATATACAATACGACAATGTGACTATAATAAGCCTGATACACATACGACAAGGTGACATGTGACTATAATAAGTCTGATACACAATACGACAATGTGACTATTATAAACCTGATACACATGCGGCAGTGTGACTAACATTAACCTTATACAAATGCGACCGAATGACTAATATAAACCTGATACATACACGATCGCGTGATTAATACAAGCTTGATATACACGCAACCGCGTGATAAATATAAGCCTGAAACACTTGAGACAATGTGACATATGTAAGCTTGATACTCATGCGTCCGCGTGAATATCATAAACCTGATACACGTGCGGTCGTGTGGCTAATTTAAGCCATTGAATGAAAGACCTTAAATAATTAGACAGAAAAAGAGTGGCAAACAAATCATGTGTAGATTTAACTATGTACTTCTACACAGCACAGTCAAGATATTTACATAAACATATCAGACTGCGACCATCTGTAAGAAATAAAGCGCAAAATTATCCATTAGACAAAGGTAAATGGTAGTTAAAGAAACGAAAAATGTAATAAAACAACTTATACGGCTATAGACACGCTACATGGTATTTATTCACATCTGTGACATAATACGGTTATGTATATTTATTCAGATTAATTAAAGGTACATACACTGATAAGATTAGGAAAGCCATTGTTGTTATTAGTCAAAACATACGTGTTGTTTTTACAAGTAATGGACAACACATTGCATTTGTTTGTTTAAAAATATCATATTTCAGTACATTTTAATGATTTTATTCCATTACAAGGTAAGCTGTCAAAAACAACCAAGAAATATTAATCACAGGACTCATCATAAGAAAAATTTTATAATTCCTTTAGGAAGACTTGATAAAATCTACAATGCTCTCGCACCACCTTTAAAAGACATTTTGTACAACATAAGAAAAATGTGAGAAAGTCCGACTCGAAGGATTTATAACAATAACAGATAAGGTATAGATAATCAGCGGGAAAATGTGGTTACTTCAGCCACATCGTCTGATTTTATTCCTTGGAATATGCATATTTTTATTAGGTAAGAATTAATATCTATTCAATGAGGACTAAAAAACTTGTTTTTAATTAAATTTAATCTTATTTCTTTTAAGAATAATGTTTCGGTCCCATTAAAAAAATCTTTAAAAGTATAGGGGCAGATTCAATAATGAGTAACACATTACAGGAATATAATTTGTTGTTCAGAATTTTGGCAGTCTGAAATACGCAAGGAACAAACCGAGGGACGCCTTTGATCATTAACAAAATAGAGTGCATGGCATGGATTAAGTAAGGTCACTGACTTGTAATCGCTTTACTTTATCGAAATTGTCATGTAAGAGAAAACTGGGCTGGGGTTGCTTGATATAACGGATAGGGAAGCACTTGTGGCTATCATAAAAACTTAAGAAGTGACAAATTTCCTATATTTCTATATAAGTTCTTAACGTTTTTCTTTAGTACTAACTTATCATGTGAGAGAAAACTTGGTCAAGGTCCCTTGATAATAAAGATGAGGTAGCATCTGTGGTCATAATAAAAAGCTAAACAATTGTCAAATCACCTCAAGAAGTTGGTTTGTAATTTATACAGTACAAAAATTAAGGAGAGAGGCTCATTTCTAATAACTAAAGAAAAAAAATTCAAGTGTTATTTGATTTTCAAGTTTATTGTTCTATGTTTTTATACATTTCTGTACGTGTTTAATTAATATATTCATACTTTTACTGAATTTTTAGATTTTTTTTTAATAATATCTCATATTTTTCATCTCAGCGCAAAACTTTCATTTCTATAACAAAATGTATTTATAAAAAGTATAAAAAATACGATAAGATAAAGAATTTTAGAACAATTAATATTCATTAATACATCAATGCCAGAAAATATCTATAATTATTCTTCGACTTCCATTTCATCCGAGACCATCATCAAAATGTCTGATTCCACAGTCGCATTATGTCACTCGTACGGAAATAGAATCGACATTTTTTAACTTGTCGGGTGACCTTCTAATCATTGTTCTTATAATTTGATGATTAACGTATAAATGCATCGCGTCCAGCATCACTCTAGACTTACAATCAATTTCACTATTTATTGATACCACTGATTCATGTTTTAGTTTTGACGAAGTCCAAATAGTGCACTTACAAACTCCAATAATAGTAAGGATTGCAGATTATTTTATGACATCCTTATTGACGCAGACAATTTAGTTGTTCCTAACAAATGGGTAAATTATGTAGGACCTATATCACAGAAGGAGTTTTAAAACTATTGTACAAACTCAAAAGTTTCAACCATACAGGGTAACGCCCACTGCAGTAACGTTTCATCGCCACTATATTATATCTATCAACTTGTTTATGACCATGGCATTTTGTATATGCTTTTTCATTTATTTTTTTTTGTCTCAAGAGCTACTAATTGTGTTTCTTTAGTTTCTATATGCACCAAATTAAGGTAGATAAAAGAATTTATTGTCTAGTCATTATACTGATTTAACTTAATTTCTTAGTTCAAGCGTGTTGAAACTTTTCCCGACTTATCATTTTTTAAAAGCATTGTTTGTGTGTTTTTGTTTCCAAGGGATGTTCCTTGACACGGCTGAAGCGTATGGAATGATAAAGTCACCGTCAAAGTCAAAGAAATCTCAATCTTCCCAGAAAAAGCTTGCTGACAGGCGAAGAGCAGCTGCTAAAAAGAAGAAACAGGATAAAAAACAGAAATCGCAAAAGAAAAATCAGTACAAACCACCAAAATCCAAGACACCGAACCCCCCGAAAGCTTCTGACACCAAAATAAGCGTAAGATACAGGATAATTTAGAATTTGTAATATTTCCGTCGGTATCATAAGGCTATAATGCATTGTGAAGTACAATACTGAATTCTATTGGACCGGCACACAGCTGTCAAAGCCATTCTGAACGAATCGTTAATCTGTTTATGCTGCTGTTAACGAGCCTAATAGTTCAGTATTGTTTTCAAATTCAAAACGACGTCGTCATTTCACAACAACAATTGTTTAATATTTCGATATAACTTTGTTACTTCCACTACAATAAGGAAAAGGCATTGATTTTTTTCGACGAATGAAAACGACGGAGTATAAAAAATGATTCGATAAGAAATTGTTTTTAAACCCGAAAATCAATAACGAGGCTACACAGAGAACAATAGTGTTTTTATATGGGTATTTGGACTCGTAAAATGAAACCGAGGCTTAGTTGTTTGGATTCAATAATGATTTAATTCAGTGATCGCATGGTGCAAACGCTGAAAATTCATTGATTACATTTTACAAGTTGTAGTTATAGAATGCTTAAAATTATATAGTAAACAATTTTGTTGTTTATAAGAATATAATATTTTGCCATATGCGCAAAAAATGTATAAACATTTGGAATTTAATCATTTATAATACTGCTATTGCTGTTTTCGAGCTTTTTTTATCGCTTTGTAGCAGCAATATCAATGGATATCATGGATAACTGTATAGATAGTTAGATGTCGGGTGGCGACATTCAAATTTCAGACTTCACACGTGGTGATTTGTCACATTTGAAGGCTAAAAGTCAGAAGATGTGTAAACACTTTTCAATATTGATCAAGTAATTTGACCATTGACTTTTGGGAACTTTCCTGCCAATTACTTACACAAATATAGTTCCTACTGAAATAACTTTTAGAAAGGGCAAGCTAAGACTTATTAAGATGATGTGCATTGCTTTCTAAATGCCACCAACAAACCAAAAATTAATCGTAATTTGAAAACAAACTTGTCAGAGGTTCTCTTTGTAACTCCTCATTCAAGATTCAAAAGCTTTTAGCCTTTTTAGACAGAAAAAAGATGGAAAAAACTGTTTATCTTTTGGTTGTCATGGCAATAAGACTTCTGCATAGAATCAAAGCCTTTAAACTTTATTAAAGTTCTTCACCAATGAACAATCCCATCAAGTTTGGTTATAATCGGACTTGTATTTTTTATGAAGGTATCTTTATATTATTTTCAAAATAACACTGCCAGTAATACAATTACACACACGCGCATTAATCAGTCGCTTTATGCCATAAGAGCAAATCTGTATGAATGTAGGGGCCTAAAAGGTAGAGTAAGACCAGATCCAATACAATATAACATAGTTATGCTACTTTCACTCAAATTCATAATTCAGACTTCCACACGCTTCTTACTTCAGACTTCAATCATAGACTTTCATGTTTCAAAATTCAGACTTCATTTCTTTACTTCAAACGTCAGACATACTTCAAACTTCATCTTACTTAAAGTTCACACTATACACACATCATCTTTGAAGCGTGAAGTCAGAATTTTGAATTTCTCCACCCCTCAGTAAGATAATTATTTTTGCCTCATTAAGATATTTTTTTTTCCTCAATGAATATTATTTTGTCTATTTTATTTCTTGTATTACAAGAGATATAAATGCAACAATTGTCCAATATAATCACTTGTTTTATTTTATCTAAGATAATAATTATCATCCTTACCTTTTAAGATAATATTTTTACCTCATTAAGAAATTATTTCTACGTCCAGGTGTACAGATGTCCCTCCGAGGCGGTAGAGATGAATTGTTTAAGCTGTAAAAGAAAGGTGTACAGGAGATGCCCTATCGCATCCGCGAGTAAAATTACAAAGGTAGTAAAATACATAAATGTTATTTAAGAATACACTCATTTTAAAATACCATCATTACTCTTTTAAAAACTTCAAAGTATTATGGCTTAGGTTAATTTGTATGCATAACACTTGTTACCGAAAAATGTAAATTACAAGATTTTCAGACTATATGATATTAACATTTTAATAATACAAATGTACAATAGACCCAGTTTCATAAAACGAATAGAAAACATGCAACTTTTCTTTTTTTATTTATTGTTTTACCCATTTTTATTGCTTAAGTACAGTTAAAAGATCAGTAGTTAGCTTTATTTTTTAAGTTATCTTTAGAATGTATTTTATAGATAACTAGATGGTTTTATAACATGCGTGATTTAGGGCAACGTGTAAAATATATGAATACTTTGAAGGAACCGTTAATTTCAAAACAAAACATAGTTGTCAAATGACATCACACTAGCACGTAAAACATGACGTAACTGTTTTGTGCATAAACATCTGCAGAAGCTCTGTAGGCTCGAGCTTTATATGCGTCCTTGTGCTTTTGCAAATTATAATGCTCGAAAAAGGTGCATTATTCCTCTTTTGTATTTGTATAAAGAGTATTGTGTCTATTTCAGGTCCAGGTGCTGAAGGAATACACAGACTCGTATGGAAAATGTAACGTTGGGAAAAATGAAAATTTTGGAATCTATGACGGTAACAACATTTGGGTAGATGCCGGATGTAGGGCTAAATTTCTTGTTTGCTACGATAAAGGTCAGTTGTTATCTCACATTGACTTATTTCATTGATTACTTAAAAGGCATCAAATTAATTATGCTCGTTAACATATGGACTATTTCGTATTGAACCGAGTCCATTGAAATGATTTTAAACAATACCAATTGATGTATGCACGATTTACATTCATTTGAAATGCACAATATCTTTTAAAATTATCATGTGATATTTTTCAGTTTAAAAGTAAGTTAATAACGTGACAAGTTATCTGTAAAAGTCGGGAACGATGTAAAAAGTTGCCACACATTGTCAATTCGGTGTTCTAGTCGTCCGCTGGAATCATTGACTCCAATAATATCAGTGTTGAATACTTTTGAAGAAGGCGGTGCGAGACGATGACAATGTTGCATTTTTCACTAACTTTCAACTCAATCAAACAATCCCATTTCGCCTGTTGTTTTTAATCTTTGCTTTTATTGATCTCAAGGGATCGTTTTTAGAAAGTTCAGTTCCTTCTAAATGAGTTTCCAATAACGAAATATAAAAATGCTATAATTTTGAAGGATTATTTTGTAGGTAATTAAGAGACTCAAAAGGTTAAACTCCGATGTACCGGGATATAACAGAATAGAGCTTTAGATATTGTTGAAAAAAAGTTTAACAATCATAACAACCACTCTTCCATTGCGATAAATTAAAAAATAAATTCTACGAGCATCTTATGTGAAGCAATGTTATTTTGTCAATTTTATACTTTTATTAGAAAAAAAATCTTTTTTGACTGAATTTTCAATGTACACAGTTTTTACTTTCATGTATTGTTGTTGTTTGTATGCGTGAAGGGACTGTAAGCTTTATTTATAATTATGTATGCTTACTGTATCAAAATTAATACCCCCTCTTCTTTACTGCCTTAACAAGCCTCCTGGATTTGTCCTGCTTTGTAACCTGTAAATGTTCGTTAGTATTTAAGGGGTTATAATATCAATTAACACTTTAATTTAACTTTATTCCGAGAGGAGGAGTTCCTTGAGAGCAATAAAACAACGAAAACCCTGTTAGATTGAGATTATTCATAAAAAAGCAATGAAATGTGCGACATCGCTCACCCCACCTTAGCGCCGCCTTCATCAATACTCTGTGTAGTACAGACATTTGGCTCTTCTCAAAACCAATACGAGTATGTCAAGCTTAATTGTCGCATGCTGTGAATGTCGTCTGCTGTAAGGAAGTGACACGAATCTAATAATATTCCATGATTAAGTTATGATTCATTTTAAAAGGTTTTAATAGAAAGATCAATTACAGACTAAATTGGGAATGAATGATAGAAACCCAATGGAATAAACATGTTTGTTTCAATTCGATCAAGGTCTTACAAAAATAAATCATGTGGCGGCAATGGTATAAAACCTGTCAAAACTTTTCTTAATTGAACACGTCAATTATTAATGCTTTATCTACTCGATGAAAACTTTTCATTATATATTTTTGAAGGTAAGTGATTTCCATACATTTTAAAGAGCAAAGACGTTCTGGTATGTATTTAAATCTTTGTAACCCTATTTTGGTGACACAGACAAACCTATTAACTTTAAATAGAAGATACACTTCTTCATCATTGTGCCGTTTCCTTTATTTCATTTATCGATATCATTTAAATAGTTAAGTCTTCTGAAATAAAATCAGAAGATTATTTTGTAAATGTAAAAACAGGAGCATCAATTTTATTGAAATCTAACTTTCTAATTTAGCTTGTACTCGTATATAATGGATACTAGTTTAAAAAGAGAATGTCTTTCAATTGTATAAAAGAAAAAAAGTAAAGTGCTTATTTTGTATGCTCGTTAATATGGAAGACGAATATCACTACTGTTTTTCTTTTGGTTGATGAAATATATCCCATGGTATAAGGATAACCATCAAAATATGTTTTAAATCACTTGACAAGTTAATAGTTGGATAGGATATACTAGAGTTTCTTAGTAGGTTAAAGTTTTATTAAATAGTTGAAGGTGACTAATTCAGATAGGATTCATTTATGGAACCATCTCACTATAATGAATATTTTTGTAATTAACGTATGCTAGTTTTAAAGTTTTAAGTTTAAGTTAAGTCTTTTAAGTTTTAAAGTAACAATGTACATATAGACATGTCAGTTAGATAATACAAGGACTATTATCACATCACATGTAATATTGTAAACTCACACTTACATTCTTTCTTGATGCAATTGAAGCATGTTTGCAAGTTTTCTCTTATGCACGTTTGTGATACTGAATCTCATTTTTGAGTTTTTAACAATCTGGCATTATTATACAACGCCTTTTTCATTACAAATTACAATTAATCGGTCTCATAGAAATGTTTAAGAACAATAAACACAAACTTTCGTGTTTTGTAATAAGTATTATTATGGTTACCGCTTTTGTTATGTAGTTAAAGTTTTTGATAATAACTTATTTACAAAAATACGTATGTATTATGTATTCATTCGATACATTAAAATTGCACATTTTACTTTTTGTTAAGAGTCATTTTTTAAATTTTATTTTCAAGTTAAGTTTTTGATTTACTTTTGAAGTCATATACAATTGATCCGCATATAAACATTAATAGAATTAAGGTCTTTAACATTATTATTCATAAAACAAGAATAATGACAATACGATTATCGACAAGATTGCCTTTGTTAAACATTTGTAGGCCAGCACGAACCTAAAACAGTGAACTGTATATGTAGTACATCTACTCAACATAAATGTGAAACTGGTCTTCGAGGTATTCGTGTGAACGTAGAAGTCAAAGTTGTTCTACTTTGGAGTTTCGGTGCGAAAAAGTAAGATTATTAGCTTTTATGAAACATCTCTATGAAACATCCAATACAGTCAACAATTCTGTGATACATTCGAGCTAAAACACCGGTATGTAATGTTCTGAAAACTGTTGATTTGATACACACCTAAGCTTTTTTCTACTTGTGTGAAGACTTTGCATGAGCATTCTCTAATTTGGAGGTAGGTATGCAGCCGTAATTTAACCATTTACTGGCGTGCAACTGAAGAACTTCAATATATATTCCTCGTTGCGAGAAATGGTACACTATAAGAACAATCTTAAATTACACGATAATTAAATTAACATAATTTTGTCTTTATTTCCTTTCAGGTGCAAGGAAGGGAGTACGTACACGTACAATAAGGATGAAATTACGGTTTTGCCTGGGTGCAGTGGGACTTTCAGAGTAATGTGGTAATAAATGCATAAACATGAACAACAACAGGACATACAAAGCAACAATGAAACAACAATGAAACAAACGCATTCTAAATTTTGAACATTAATAATTAATAAACTCACTTATAAAATACAGATATATTTGTTCCTTATATGTGTTGTTTTAATTGCCCTTCATATTTTTCTTGAAACTATAGCTTGTTTATTATTCTATTTATACACACTTTTGATTTGATATAAAAGCTTTTTTAACATTTGTTTGCTTCAGTGTTTCTTGGGTAAATGCGTTGATTTTTATCTTTTGTATGTCTTATTTTAATATAAACATATTAGTATTAAACAGTAACTTTAGATTGGATAAGAAAAGTGTAAAGGAGGATGGTTCAAATAATTCTAGATACTGACTGACTTAACACATTATAGAACGAGTAGAACGCTGGAATGAGATGACAAAGACGTGCCGAAATGAGAGATTAGATTCACGACACTTCGGTTGAGAGATAAGCAAGTAAAAGATTTTTATAGTCAAATTGTCACTCTAAGTACATTTAAATCAAGTTTAAATTCATCTAGGCACTGGTGTCTATATGTTGATATCCATGCAGAAGCTCTCTGACACCGCATTCTACAATCCATAATGATTGTGCCATGTAATTACACCGTCCCCATAAGGGCATGGACTCATTTAGCCTAGGTGAAGTGAAAACTGCATAGTATAAATATTTTTTATCATTAAAAAAGGTATCGTTGCTTTTATAGAATCGAAGTTTAGACTTTTAAGATGAAAGGCGACACCTACATGAATGGTTGTGCAATTGTTTGTTTTTGTTCGAGTATTGTCTGAATTTTTGTCATTAAAGTTTAATAAACTCACTAGTGATTACATTCTTTTGCTTTGCTGAAAGTTTTTAGTTTGATCATCAAAGGATGGATCACCTTAACTCTTTTTGTCTTCATCAAGAATAAATAAAACTTTTTATAATTTATTGTATTTAACAATCAGATTAAGTCCATATGACACAAAGATAATGTTAAGATGTTGGACATATACATGTAATCCAAATTGTGATTTTATGAACACAGCCATTAAAATTATACAAAACAGGGGAAGAAACTCAAGTTATATTTTATGCCTTCCCTATTCTATTTGTGTGTCCAAATTTAGCTGAATTATGTTTTAAGGCTTTTGGACCTCAATGGAGTACGAAACACACTTAGATCCTGAAAACCGATAAGGATTGTTGATAAAAAGTCACCGTAAAGCCGTAAAGAATTCAGATCATTAAACTGAAAAAAACGATCGTAATTTAAATATTGCACATTTTATTAAAATCATCATTTAAATTTATTTATCTGAAAGATGGAACAAAATATATTAATTTTTACTTTGAAGACGCACGCATTGATTTCCTTATATCTATTTCCTTTAAAGTAGCCAGTTAAAAAGCTGCACAACAGTATAATAATACAACTTTCAAACATTAACAACTTACGCACACATTAACTTGAAACTCTGAGCCGAATGTGACTATGAGTATAAGCATTTCTTTTTTTTCCTAACTATTATCAGAACAAATATCTGTTGCGTTAATATAGCCATTATTATATTAGTAAAAGGACACGTGTTGTGATTTATATATTATTTATAAAAAAGTATTTTGTTTTGTACGAAATTTTAATACTTCTGTGCTGCTCTGTATTTATTTCTCAAAATGGGATGGTATATTTGTACACAATTTGATTAATAATAGATATTAGAACTAAATGAAAAGGGAGAATCATATAATTTAATTTTGCGTTTAATCTGTATCAGTAAGAAAACTTGATAACACACCTTTAAATTAAAATCTTCTTTCAGGAAACATTGTCCTGCAATGAATGATTTATTTGATTTGTCAATATACCAGTGTTGCTATTTTCAAGTTATTGAAGGTTAACATACTGTAAGAAAAAATAACATTGACACTGAAATGTCTGTCACGTGAAGTTGATATTAAATGTTACACATTGATTTCTGTTTATTTATCGTATAAAAAGGTATGTTTACTAGCGGCGAGGTGGAAGCATATGGTTAATTATTTTGGTTAGTATGACGATTTTAACGCATTTTGGTCACATATATGCGGACGATCCACCTATATTGTGAAAATGTCATTTTATTTTAAATGACGAAAATAAAATATGCATATGAAAATAGTTATCAAATGAACAGTTTCAAATAATGTAGGCTCAACACATAGGTTGGTAACATAAAACCGCCAACCACACATAGGTGGGTAACATAAAACCTAAAATCAGTGTAAATGCATTTACCAACTATTATAAAAAACATTTAAGACAAATTGCAAAAATACATTTACTAACTATCATAAAAAACATTTATAATAAGACAAATTGCAAAAAAAAACAAAAAAAACAAAAAAAACAAAAAAACAAATGAAGTAAATATTCCTCATGGCAAAGGAGGTTGTTGGGGAGGATGGAGGGAAGACTTTGTTGCGGATGATCTCTCTGCTTTGTCCACGCTAAAAACGTCACGTGACTGAATGATCGATAATTGAGGGGGCCGCCTCAAAATATTCTGGAGGGGCCGCCTCAAAATACTAATCTTAATCTTTTTTCAGGGGGCGACTCAAACACATTTATCTACGTTAAATATCCTATGTTCTAGTGACATTCTTCTAATCCCAAACGATTTCTAAATCAGTGTTGTGTGATGAATGATCATATGACTCAATGTCTGAGACCAGTTTTTACGGAGTATTCCGCCTCACCCAAGGACCGAACGATCCAAGGATCGAACGAGCGACCCATGGATTACAAATCTAATGCTTTTCCTTAAGCTAAGTCGGCGGACTTAACGAAAACATATGACGCTTTATCGCAATTGCCTTACATATCCTTACTATGCTAAATATCTTAAATTGACTTGTCCTTATCTTTTAATCTGCACAAAGACATTTATCATTTTAGTGGAAAAATATTTGATGACTGCATATCAAACAGTGTAGACCATGTGCCGGCTAATTTTGGTCTGCTTTGGTCACACGGGCCAGCTAAGAATGAACAAACACTTGTGTTTGTGTTCTCAAATATAAAGAAATTTATAACCGATATTATTTGTGTAATATTTAATGATAAATAATTTGATTATGATTATTAAAATAATGCACATTAAATAATTGTACAAAGATAGATTGAGGTTTTAATACTTTTAGAAGATGCGGATATAGCGTTTACAAATATAACTTTGAAAAATGAACTAATAATTATAATTAAAGACTGACAAATTTACACATTTATTGTGTTGACCTTAGTGTATTGACTAAATTGATTAATTGATTGATTGAGTGAAGGACTGGTTGATTTAAATTAAAGAATTCGTCAGCATGACAACTTCATAAAACATACATTGAAGTTCAAACAGCAATACTATTAACGGAAATATATGTTAATTTGTTGTGACCTTGAACATACTTCTGGAGTTAATACCTATTATATTTTGTGGAAGCTCAATGCTTTATTTGCATAAAGCGGGTTAAATTAAAAAATTTTTCCTTCCCCTTTAAAAATTTAAATTTAAGGGGCAGTTTAAAAAAAATTTTTGTATTTTTTTAACCTATGCATGCAATAAAAACGCCCGGGAATTTTTAAAATCGGGGTTTTAATTTTTTTTAAAAAAAAAAGAAAACACAGGGCAGATGTTTTTTTTAATGAAAATTTAGTCTTTTAAAGGGGAAAAAAAAAGCAGTTTATTACACGAAAATTTTTTGTTTTTATATGAAAAAAAGGGTGAGAAAAAGGGAATTTACAATAAAATGTTTTTGGAATTTTTTTTGAAAATTTAGGAAAGGGAAAATTCCCGGTAAAAACCCTTAAAGGAATGAAACTTCTTTAGAAAAAAATTTTTAAATTTTTAAAAAAAAAATTAAAAAGACTTTTGGGCCACTGAAATACTATGGTAATGTTTTTTAATTTTATCACGAACTTTTTGGGTTTAAAAACCATTTATAAAAATTCGAGATTCATAAAACAAAATTTAAAATGCGGGGAATTTTTCTTTGATGTAAAATGTCATGTTTTTCAATCAATTTTTCCCACAAAAAAAAATTTAATTGAATTTTAAAAGTAAAAATTTTTCCCTTAATAGTTTTACAAAAATTATTTTAAAAAAATTTAAATTCTTTTAAAAGGGAAAATATATTTTTTTCCAGATTGAAAGAGGGAAACAAACAGTTTTCCCGGAAAATTTTTTAAATTTTTGAAAACTTTTTCACAGTTTTTTTTTAAACAAAGAAAAAGGGAAAGGGAAGGAAAAAGGGAAGGGAAGAAGAAAAAGGAAAGAAGAAAAAGAAAAAAGAAAAAAAACCCAAAAAAAAACAAAAAAAAACCAAAAAACGATAACAAACAACAGCAGCAGCAGCTGCTGCAAAAAAAATAACCACAAAACTTGCAGATAATTCATTCTTGTTTTGGTTTCACGAAACAAACAAAAAATTAATTATATTTCTTTATATATATACCTTTGACTGTTACTGATATTTCAAAAGACTGATTTTCACAGTTTATTTTTGATGCGTCGATTACTTAACTTCAAACCATTTCTCTTTGAATAATAAAGTTCCTGAAAATTCATGATGTTTAGTCTTCAGAAACTTTCTCTTTCTTATTGCATCAGGTGCACAGTGCTATTTCAGGGAAGTTTCAAATTTTAATATAGTTAAAGCATAGGTATAAAGCTATATCGAATGATTTTTTTTCCAAAAAATTCATAATCAGTAAAATTGTAACGTTTACATGATCTTATGGTCGATTCTTCAAAGAGTTATTAATATTATGTCTCTATTAATCAACACACATGGATATTAAAAATAAACAGAATATGTTCCGGAACAAAATATTTTGCTATATATAATGTTTTAAGTAGGTTTTTAACTACCAATTTATTATTTTGTTCAGGCGCTATTCGCTCTTTATGAAATGAAGATATTTTTTTCTTTCATGCAGGTGATTTTTTTTTATAAACTACATGCAACATATATCTAGTCTTTTGTGTCTGTTATTGTGTACATTATCTTGATATCTTGAGCATCTACGCATATCCTGTATATTGCTACAGTATTTCAAAACAGAAAGA